AGAAGTGGCACATTAGTAAGATCATCGAGGAAAATATCAAGTCAATGATAATTGGGGGGCCCACAACAAGCTAGACAAACTCATAGAGTACAATTAATTTCATTTTTATATCCAAGGGTGAAGGGAAATGAACATTTTCAACAGAACACCAATAACCAACATAGCAAAATCTTGTTGCAAAGCACAGCTCACGAGAAATTCATATATAAAAACACAAATGCAATCAGAACTAATAAAAAGCTGCCAAATATAGCATTTCACTTCATATATATATTTCGCTCTTTTTTATGGTTGCCACAGACTCAAAAGTAGAAGATTATTCAAATATTCAAAACACTTTCCATGCTAACAACAATATCATGTCATACTTAGCAAGTTAAAGGATCTAATTTAGTGAATTCCAGATATAATAATGGTCAAATCTCAAGAACATGAGTGCATAAGCACAACGAAGCGTAGGAACAACTCATTGCAAAGAGGATGTTAGTAAAAAATGGTTAGAAAGGGCATCCACCTCCAAAAAAAATGGCCCTGCGCCTTGATGCAGATAAGATTGCATTCAACTCAACAGAGTTTAGCACAATGCTCCATGGTATGCATATCTTTCACAATTAATGAATGCTAAAGAAAATAGCCTAAGCTTTATAACACAACCAAACATTCAACATGAAAGATGAAAGCATAAAACAAAAAACTAAAAATCAAAAAACTGTATGTAAAGAATAATTCAAATACTACACATTTTACAAACAACTCCATAAGAACTCTTCCTGCTCAGAAGAAAGAATTTGAATATCCGCAGAAATTAAAAAAAAAAAAAAAACTACCTGTAATGTTATAGTGCCTATAAAGCCAGCTTTGACTGTAACAGGAAGCTTCAAAGAGTTCAGTGCCTCAGCCTTCAATCTCAAGTCTTTCAAAACAACATCTCCTATAGGACAACATTTCATAAGGAGAGAGACTTAGAACACAGTTAAAAATAATGATACCCAGCGTATTAAACAGGAAAATTCAAAATAAGAAAATTTCATCAATGCATAATGTAAAAATAATTCAATAACAGTTCTTACAGAATTATAAATAGAGAACATAAATCAGGCAACAAAGTCATCAAATATGAGAAGAGCTCAATTGCTAACAATAAAATGTTCGGGTACAAATAACAATTTTCTGATAAATACTCGAAAAGACAATCATTCCCATCAAAGTATATGCAAAGGATATTATATCCACATCATCTCAATATGGTGCAGATATAACATCGAAAAATTAATGTGAAACAATAGGGAGTTACTTTAAGAAATTAAAGAGAGCGAATTACGAAGTGTTCCCATAATAAATTTATTGCTTATAACAACGATTGATCCTTAGAGTTCTTAGTTTTTAACTTGCTTAGGCAAAGAAGAGTGAAATCGATTAACCAAACAATTCAAGAAAACGCAAAGAATAATTGTACGCTACGACAATAAACAAGAATCCACGATTTAATATTGAGAACTTTCATCTTTGGAGCCCATACGCTCAAATAGTCTAGGCTTTAGCGGAAGAAGAGTCTCCACATTAGAATCGAGGTCGCTCCGAGGAAGAAGGAACCTAGGATCGTCGTTCTTGGATAGGTGGCCGGAGTGGTGGAGGATGATTGTCGTCCAATGATGATCCAACGTCCCTTTTGACCTTTGCTCGTCGATCACGTCAACTAAGGTGTAGTGGATACGATCGATGTATTCTTCAATGGTGAAAAAGGAAATCTGAGAAGACTTCCCGTTTTTCCAAATTCTTCTACAAAGCTGAAGTAATTCTTTGGAGGAATCAGAAATGTTTCAGATTTTTTTCTCTCAGAAATCTGAAGGAATTCCAACTCTTATTTTAGGGAGGAAAACTTAACAACAAGACTCATGGAAAACAAGCCACGTGAAGTGGAGGAGAGGAAATCTGAGAGGGAATAATCTTGATTTCCAATCTCAGATTTTGAAATCTGGAATAAAAACTGAAGTTACGTTTGGGAGGAAAGGTATGGGGCGGCTAGGTTGAGAGACCACAAGAAAATTTCAATAAACCTGAAATTATCTCAGGTTTTGGGTGAGAGGAAAAGGGATTAATTGAGAGTTTTCAAATTAAATCCCATAGGGAGAGAGGCGGCAATAAGGAGTGGATGGGGCTGAGTTAGTGGGATGAGGGAGCTAACTGAGGAGAGAGTGAATCCGTTTCAGTTTTCAGATTTTTGAAATTTGAAATTAAAACTGATGAAATCTGGAATTAACTATGTGAGAGGAGGCATTTAAGAGGTGGTGATGTGGCAATTAAATAGAAAACAATAAGGGGAAGGCCGGCCAAGCATAGAGAGGGAGAAAATGTTTAACTTAAGTAGGTGGGGACCACTTGGCTAACAAAGCTTTAAATAAAAATCTGAAATATATTTCAGGTTTTTAAGCTAGGGAAGTTCCCTAATAAGAGGGTATTAATTAAGACCAATTTTAATTCAAATTCAAATTGAAATCTAATTAATTTGGAGACCTCAAATTAAGGAGCTAAATTAGGAAAGTATCAAAGCCTCATGAGAGCTTTGAATTTCAAATTCAAAACTCCAAGAGGGGCCGGCGGGTGGAGCGGTGGGGAAGGAAAATTGGGGAAGAGGGGCCGGCGGCCTGAGCGGCCCAGGGTGGCCGGCGGCAAGGGGCTTGGGAAAGAGGAAGGCGGCGGCCAGAGAATTGGGGAGAAAACTTGGAGTAATTCAAAGGGGATTCAAAGCTCATGCGTCTCCTCCCATGAAACTCACAAAGAGATCCACAATGCGTCGTCTCCGCAACGACGATTGATCAAGAGAATTAAAGAAAAGAGAAGGATAAGGAAAACCTAGAACTCACAAAGAGATCTAGTTTCTCCTACGAACTCAGTAAAAGATCGAGGAGGTTGCACTCACAAAGAGAACATGAACTCTAAAATCTTCATTCATCAAAACTGATATTACATAAGAAAAAGGGCCACATATATAGGCCTCAAAATGACAAAGAAAACAAATGACTAAAATGCCACTTTGGCTACAATAGCGACCAAATACCCATAAGGGCAAAAGTGGAAAAAAACATAAAATAAAATAAACTACTACATAAAATGACAAAAAATACAACTCATGATCGTGGCCGTCGATCTCCGACGTCTCCTGATGGTACATGTGTCGAAATCGCTGACGATTTCCTCATCATGAACACACAGTAATTGTGATAGTAAACTTACCAGCACAAAAATTTATCAAATAATAATAACTCATATAGTATCTGAGAGCAGTTTCTTTACTGCCCTAAGCCGATTTACTGTTTGTGTTTTTATTTTTTTTTTAGAACGGGGAATCCAATTGCTGCCACCCCTAAAAGGGCGCTTGGCAGCGTAACTAATATTTCGTTGACCTAGAAGAGACACCCACCCCAGAAACTTCCTGGCCCGCACTTGATTGTGTCACACTTAAGAGACGCTGTCACTCGAGAGGAATCAAACACGGGTTGGGGGTTCTCATTCATACTCGCCCACCAACCAAACTAAGCAACGGTGAGTTTGTTTGTGCTTAATTTCCAAATATTTCAGAGGCCTACGACAACAACATAAACCATTTGTCCCTCTATGTGAGATAAACATATAAATATAACTATTTCAGATAAACAATTATTTTAAATTCACCAAATTGTTGTTAGTTATTGATTAAAAAGTCTGGTAAGACATTCTCATGAACAACAATATAGATATTTTTTGATATTTTACAATACCTTATTTTCATCTTATAAAAGACCATTAGTAGTCACTATTCTGATTATCATCTTTCAAGACAAGAAAACATCTTGCAGATATCCAACAGGCTTGTATTTTTAAAATATGTCTTACTAATTCAAAGTTTCTAAAAAGATGAAATTTATCTGATTCAAATGAAATCTTTGAAGATTTCAAGATACTTATACTAAACTGGTTCAATTTGACAAGCTTCAATCTCTGATGCTGGAAGATCTTGCATGAAATCTGGTTGCCAGGTTTGTGGAGAACAACTGAATTCTTCAGTTCTCGTTATCCTTTGCATCTGTATTTCACACCCAGAAGTCTCTTGCTTCTTTTTCTTCTTCGTAAACATTCCCATAATGGAGGAATAGAGGCCTGAGCCTGACCTCTTTCGCTTTCTCACACCAGCAACCCAGCCATGAAAGGTGGTTTGCATATGTTCAGCAAATATTGCTTGTTTGTAAGAATCACCCATCTGCATTAAGACAATTTTTTTGCAGTAAGCAACAAAAACACCATTACATGAGGCTAAAAGATCAAAATATTGCTTGAAACTAGAGTTCATTATGAGGGCATCTCCAACCGAAAATCTTATTTTTCACTCCAAAATGCAGTGAAACTAAAAAATGGCGTGATTCATTTCCAATCGAACTCCATTTTACGCCCTTCGCAGAAGGTAACCATCTTTCTCCTCTTTGGTGCGTTTCTTCGACAAATCCGGTAGAGACAGAAAAATAACGCGGGTGAATAGTGCCACGCCAATATTGGCGTCGCACTGTTCACCTGCAACCAAATACCGGAAATTTTGCCGTTCGGCTGGAGCTCGCGAGCAATGTCATTCATGTGTTTGGAGTTTAGTTGGAGATGCCCTGACTCATAATAAGCTCAAATTGAGCCAAGCCACTATATACATTTTGGCTTTGACTGATTTTTGAGCCTATCTCAAGCTAGGCCAGAATTGAATCGAGTTGGCAAGGAAGATAAGGCAGGCTCAATTCAGATTCAAACATGCTCATAATTGAACTGATTAAGCCAAGTTGGCTTGAAATCAAACTGGGTCAAGACAAGTTAATTTAGAGCCGGTTAATTTATGTTGAGCTCATTTTGAGCTGCTTGATATATGCAGCCTCATTGCTACATTTAAAAGAGCTTGTTTCAAAATTTAGGCAACCAAATCACTACAATCTCATCATCTAAATATATAAAGGAAAAATGTGCATGTTATTTACCTGTGTAACAATAGCATACAGAGGAAGCGTACTATAGCTGCAAAGTACTTCAACAATCACGCTGCAAAAGCCATCCCATTTCAGTATTGCTTGAAGTTTTAAGAGAAAAATAGATCATTACTGCAAGAATAATATAGAGCAGATTCCTGAGAGTACCCAACAACGAGTCTGGGGATAACATAGCCAACACCTTCCACAATACAGGAGTGAAAGCCAAAAGTGCTCTGCAGATTTGAAGAGAGAAAATTAGTACGACAACCTTGATGAAGGGAAAGAAAAGTGCTAATGTTACTTACAATGATCCAGAAAAGGAATGCAATTTCAAAGGAGTTTTGAAATAGAATGAAATGAATCAAGTAGAGAACTAAGCTTGGCTGCTTGAACCAAAAGTGTTCATCTGAAGGCTTCACCCGGTGTCCTTGACCATCTGTATGCGTCTCTGCAAGCTTTATGGCTAGCCGTGTGATGATATGCTCCAGCTTTGAACCGACAATTAGCAAAAGCTGCAAGAGATATCATATTGCATTTAGTATTAGCTTCAATCTTGATCCAGAACATAGATCTTTGAAAGAAAACAACATGCAACTAACAAAATGAGTAAAAACAACTAAACTGCGTCTAATAAATAGGAAATAAAAAGAAATATCTCACTGATGCATGCCAAGAAAAATTCTTTCAAAAGATTAATTTCAAAGACTCATCATCAAGATAATGAATGATATCTCATTATTATTTTATTTTCTTTATGATATCTCATTTTATGTAGTTGTTTGTTTGAAAATTAGAATAATATTTGGCCTTTAAAATTTATTTTGTCTCAATCTAAGTTCATTGAGTTAAAAATAAATAAAATAATAAAAAAAAGTTCATTGAGTTCTACATTTCCTAAGCTCTTTTCGCTTTAGTCAGGATGTTTTTGCTAGACATTTGCAAGAGGATGTACCCCGATTTATGCTTTTTTGCTGATGATATTTTTCTTGTTGATAAGACTAGAGAGAGTTTAAGGTAAACTTGAATCATGGAGGTCAACCTTAGAGTCTAAAGATTATCATTTGAGTAGATCTAAAATTAAATACATTGAGTGTAATTTTAGTAGTAATAGATCTAGTGGGGGATTGTGACTTTTGGCGATCAAGTCATTAATAAGAATACACGTTTTAGATATCTCGGGTCTATTGTCCAGAGTGATGGTGATATAGATGGGGATATTATTAGTAGAATTCAAGTTGGATGGTTGAAGTGGAGGAATGTATTGGGCCTGTTGTGTCATATGAAAGCACCCCTCAAACTTTGAGGAAAATTTTGTAAGATGGTCGTGAGACTTGCAATGCATTATGGCGCAATATGTTGGCCATTAAAAGAGAAGCATAAAATTAAGTTAAGTGTTGCAAAGATGAGGATACTCAGGTGGATGAGTGGTTTACTCTTAGAGACGGAATGTGAAATGAGCATATATGTGAAAAGGTTGCAGTAGCTCTAATGGAAAAAAAGATAAGAGAGAGTTGCCTTAGATCGTTTGCTCATATAAAATGCCGACCTTTTGATGACCTAGTTAGGACTAGATGTATTAGATTTGACCTATGTTAAGGGAGGTAGAGGTAGACCTACAAAGACTAGGTTAGAAAATATTAGAAATGATATTTTTTATTAGATTTAAATGAGAAATTGACTCTTAACAAGACACAATGAAGAAAAAGAAGCCATTAACCAAACCCACATAGGGGGATAAAAGCTTGATGTTGTTGTTGGTACATGATAAATATGTATGACATTGATTAAAAACTCCACAATTTATTTTGATGAATCTATTTGGATGATCATAAAAAAAGTTTTAAATTTTGTGAAAATGTAGATAAAAAATTTGCTTCTCCTCAATCCTGATTAATAAAGGATGGGTGTTGGTAGAAAAAATGTCTAACTGGATTCCAAATTACATCTCATGCTTGATCTTGAAGGGTTAAAAATGGGACGTGACATTGAGTAGGAACACAAGGCAAGGCGTTTCCTGAGCAATCAATCATATCTAGTTTGTCATCTAACAAAGGAGAAGCCTATTGATGTAGAACGGTTAGGAGGATTTGCTAGGGATGATTGACAACTCCAAGTGTCTATCAAAATCTGAAAATTTCCTTCAGGTTTTTATTCTAAACCTGAGCCTCTCCGAAAACTGAAAGAAAGTCTAACTTCTTTGCCCAAAACCTGAGAAGAATCTCAGATTTTCTCTTGGTAGGAGAGAGGTTGCAAGCTCCCTATACTTTCTTAGATTTTATTAATGGTTATATAATCAACACACATGTCAGCTATTATCTTTCTTGACAACTATTAATGTGGGTATAGGTTAAGGAGTTAGTCTGATGCTTTTTAAATGGACCCTCTGCCTACACCTTGAGCTCAACATGCTCTATGAGGTTCATCCAATAATTGGAAAAACAAACTTGTCTGCTCTTATGATGTGAAAGCTTGTGAGGAAAACCAACACAAAATACTAGAGTTAAAAGGCACTCTGGCATGAAGGCTCTCTGACTTCCATAGTGTCACATGGTTCATGTTTAACTCCTTTACATCTTGGTGTCAACACTATCTTCCTCAGGCGCGCCAACAAGAAGGCTCACATGATGGCATTCAAATTCATAATAACCAAAATATTGGCACTTGAAACAAGACCTACCATTCTACTTAGAACTTGAAGCCATAATTACACTTCTTTCCCATAAGATTCTTCGTCTCAGCAACATCGTTGTTTCAACTTTTGGGGCAATTGGAGATGAGCAAGTCAGCATAAAATGTCTCCCTAACTAAGGAAATTTTCTAGGAGTTCTAACATTTTGTTCTAACTCCAAATTGAGTTGAAACTCCTAGAATATGGAATACAAAAGGTGGACCAATAACTTGATTTTAATGTTTATCTATACAAGCCTGCAAATTTACCGTAGCTTTCTTAGTTCAGCATGATTCACTTTATCAAACCAGAATGGGTGATTTGAAGAATCTAAACAATCCATCAGATGGAGATTTCAAATGATTTCAAAAATCATAAGAGAATTTTAAGCTTGTACCAAATTTAGTAGATCATGCAAGCCAAGCAAAACATTATTACACAGTCAGTTAGTCGAATGATCTTGATAACAAATTCATGGCAACAGAACACGAATACAAGCTAAGCTCTAATACCAAGCTTGATGCATAAGGAATAGATATATAATAAACCCTAAAAATTTCATTCCATGAAATTACTACACAAACAATTAAAAAAAGTACGAGAATTCCAGAGATTATTTGTTTTGCATGCAACCTGCAATCAAATGCATACGCAGCTATAAATAAATAATTAATAACATGTTATAGATGCAACTAGAAAACACCAAGAGATTCAAATTAATACGCAACTATAAACAAACAATTAATAACCTATTATAGATGCAACCACAAAACACCAAGAGATTCGAAGATAAAAGGGCGAAGAGTTCCTAACAAGAAATGAGATCAATTATCCTTGGAAACATTGCTTGGCGAAGATCACTTATGTAGGAAAAGATAAACACCATTTAAAACCAAGAACAAAGACAAGAAGGAACGCAAAGACAACAAGGATAAAAAAGATGAGACAGTAAAGTAAAAAAAATGAAAGTTGAAGAACCTAAATTAGTGAGGCACAATTCCATTTGGTCCTTCAATTTTCACATTTGAAATCAAATGAGTTAGCATGCACAAGCAAAAGCTTCTATTCATTTCAAGGGAGTTAACACAGACAAAAACATGTCACAAAAAAAAGAGGTATCAATGTAAACATTAGGGCTTAGAATTTCTCAAGAATGTCTAAAAATTCCCGGTAAATATGAGTAATATGCCCATAGAATCATCTAAAATGAAATGTGCAACTACCTAAAATGTAAGGTATCCTACTTTAATTTATGTGTTAGCATACAAGTTGAGTCTAATGCATCTCCCGTAGAAACTCCCATTTATAGATATGATATTTTCCTACAATGCTATGCTGGAACATGTCAAACATTCCAAGCAAACCTCTGGTACCTACGTCTGCAGACAACAAAACTAATTTTCATTACCAAGCTCCAATATGAGCGCTTTAACGTAGATCCGTGCAACTACAAACACCATTCTAATGTTTTTGACTATAGAGAAAAAGAAAAGACATATCAAAAGTCACTCAAATGTAAAATGTAGAATTCAAGAAACTATCTTTATTATCTGGATCACTACAAACTTAGAACTTATATCAAAGGATTCATTAAGGAACCAATGTTCAAATCTTCCACATGAAAATGTTAAATGCCAAGATTCTGTACAATAGTGAAATCACTATATCAGGTCGTAACCAGTAGTTTTTTTATGGATATGACTCCTCGACAGTAAAGTTTTCCACATACTTACAATCAAGGGCAAGAATGATAACCAAAAATATGCATGCCAACCTGCGCAAAAATACATGATTAAAAAGCATAAGTATTTCATTTTTGGTCAAATCAGCATCATTAAAAACCCATGCAATACATAATTAAAAGAAAAACAAGAACAGCAAGGTGAATATCATTTGAGATTATGGAAATTATTTTCCAAAAATTAAAGGAAGTGAGATTATAAACAAATTATGGATGCCGATTTTAAATACCAAGAAAAAGGTTGCAGATGCAGGAAATGTATCTCCAGTTTTCACATTGTATATTCCGGATAAAAGACATCTACATGCCACACTCGGATGTAGGATTAAGTAACCAAAAGCAAAAAGCATTTATCTCACTAAGTTCTATTAAGAGTCAAATTCTCATTAAAAATTTAATAAAATAAGGCATTTCAATACTTTCTAGCCAGTCCTTATAAATCTACCTCTATCTTTCTTAACATGGGTCAAATCTAAAGCATCTACTCTCTTATGGGGCCATCGGAAAGCTGACGTTTTGTTCTTAGTTATGTAAATGTTGTCTTTTATAATATCAGAATTACAATAACAGGAGCAGTGTTGACTTGGGTACACTAGCGAAATACCTTTTGAGTAAAAGAAAATATTATGGCATGATGTAACAGTCCTGCTGATTTATTTAAAGATAGTATGAATGTTGTGCAAGTTCATTATTTTCTCCAATTACATAGGAAGCACATAACAGGGATTGAACTCAGGAAAAAAAAAAGTCAGACTCAGGAGGGATTAGCGACTAAAGTTCATACACTTGCGCTCAAAGTTTATTTGCATTTCCGTCCTTGATATTAATAAAAAGGGGGAAAAAAAGAAAACAAAGGCTCATCTAAAATCTGAAACCATTTCTAGATAAGAATTAGACGATTCCATAGCTCAGTAACATTTTCAACTTGGAAGTGCACTCAACAGACAGCACAACGTACCATGAATGTCAATTAACAAGAAGATAATGACAAAAAGCCATAAATACCACCTGCAGAAATAAAAGGAAGTTGAGAATTACCACTAATCCACAATTTAAAATGACTCAAAGAATAACCAATTGGCTGAACGAGGTGCCCATTTACCTTATACCAACAACTTTCTTGAAGTCATCCTCAAGAGCACGCATCACATATTTGTGAAAATTAAATTTAGGATGTGTGGAGCAGTGCCTCTGAAATTATACGGCTTAAAATGAGTGTAATATTTGTAAAATCTAAGAACGGGGAGAACAAAAAGCCAAAAAAGCAACTTTTTCCTAGTTTACCATAATAAATCCAGCTCGAAGTGCTCTGTAATCTGATTTAGTCAAAGAGCCATAAAACTGCTTGAAGAAAGACATCTGCAGTGGAAAAGTAAAATTAATAGAATTGCTTATCATGCTAAACTATCGTTCTAGTTTCAAGTCCAGCATTGACCACTTGCTTTAATAATTTCCATCAATGACCTATTAAGTTATTCGGCTTTGTGCTGATGCTCATTAACAAGTCATTCAATAGACCTGATGAGGACATCGGAGATCAACGGCTACGATCTTGAGTTATTTATTTATATGTTTTATGTACTAGTTTATTTTATATTATTGTTTTTACATTTTTACCCTTATGGGTGGTCATGTAGTATTGTAACCCGAAGGGCATTTTAATCTTTTATTTCTTTTCTCTTCTTGAGCCTATTTATAGGCTAGTTGTTTTGTATTATGGGATGATGAATATTGAAATGAAATCTTATTTTTCTTTGCTTGATCTCTAAGTGAGTTCATGGGAGGAGAGACCCAAGGTGCGGGCAATCGCAATACCCGTCAACCTTTGGAAGAGTCCAAGGTTCGCGGTTTTACGATCTCTTAGTGAGTTCGTTAGTTTACTTTTATCTTATTTGTATTTTCTTTCATCTCCTTTCTCCAAGTCAATCGCCGGCCACTTCCAACCTCCCCACCACCGGTGGCTCAACCTCCCCCACCCAATTCATCTTCTAGCTCCACCTAAATCCCACCCACCAACATAGCCACAACCCGCCACCTAGCCACCCCCTTCCCCCTTTGTCGCCGGCCATCTCATAATTTCCCCCTCATTATAATGATTTCAATCACCATAATGACTTCCTAATTTAGCTCAAGCATGAGAGGGAAAATTTGAATTCATTTGAAATTCAAATTCGAATTTCAAATTCTTTCCATATGGGGAATTCCAAATTAGGAAAGTATCAATCATGAATTCAATTTCAAAATAAATCAAATTGGATTTATTATTCCCTTTCCTAATCTTCATCGCCTATTGGAAATTCCAATATTTCCCTCCCCAATCCCCTCCACCCCTCATGATGCCGCTGACCCCATGATGGGCGCACCCCCCCCACACACACACACATTAAATGCTCATTTAATCCCTCAACCTTATTTGAAATTTGAATTTAATTTCAAAACATTTTCCCTCCAAATCCACTTAAGCTGAAATTAATTTTAGTTTCCAAATTCCCATCCTCTCTCCACAATCTAATTTTCTCCATTTAATTCTCCAACATAATGTCACTAATCTCACCACAATTTCAGCCGCCACATTCCCCTATCCCTAGCCGAATTAATCACCCCTTCAAACAGAACCTGGCCATCAGGAACCTGATCCAATATGCTGTCCAGCCATTCTGACCCAGGAAATACTGTCCAGAAAACTTCCAACCAGCAATTTTGCCACCACGTCACTCCCGTATACTAACTAGCAACCCTCCAAGAGCAGCCTAGCTAAAACCTTAGTGATCTAGTGAGTAGAGTGAGGGGTCCTTGCATAGCAACTATCCTCATTGTATAATTTAGGGATTTATTGTTGAAATCATTCATGTATGCAACATTAGATTGACTTGATTGTTTTATGATCTTAACTCTTACGCGTGTGATTCAGCCTAAGCTTATTTTACCGCTCTTAGTGTTTTCTTTTGTCGTTAGAAAATTCATTGTGAAGATATGATTATTGTGACTTCTAACACTTAAGCATGCAAATTCCTTTAAGCAATTCATCTGTGCATGTATTGTTTTACATCAAGACCTCTTGTGTCATGATATGTTCATTGGTTATTTTCTTGGATTCCTTCCAAAATTACTAATTCAAGCATCATGAAATTTTCTTCTCTTTTCCCAAAAACATTGTCATAATTGGCAATCCGTTCATTTTTTTTAGGCTACTCCTTAGGAAAGTTGAAAAAAACTAAAGCCTAAAACTAATGCATAAAATGTGAAACCAAAATTTATAAGGAATAATACAGTCCAACTCAAGCTTGAGGAATAAACTGCCAATCTGATCAATGTCAAAAACGGTCAACAGATTAAAAGTTAATAGGACTTTGATATCACCAGCATTAAAATGAACATTTGCACATAAGGATAGAAGTATCCTTAGTTTATTTGACATTCTTGTTCTAAGCCTTTTTGCTTATTGGTTACTTATGTTCCACTAATGTTTTAGCTAGGCTATATTGGGTGAGAACCATTCAGAAGGGCAAAAGATGTTTGGGGCAAGGGATGGACTATATTGAATCCGACACAATGATGCATCTCCTTTGCACTTTCCTAGATGGTCTAGTCTCCTCTCCTTTTCCATTATTGCCTTTCATAGCCTAATTATTATCATCGAAGAAGTTACATACGGTATATATTATAAGCGCTACAATCAATTTCTGATTCCAGATGGCATCATTTTTATGATTACTAGTCAAAGAGTGGCATTCAATGTACCTAAGAAAAAGAGAAATAAAAACAAGGAAACTTTTCAAGATAAATGCAACTCACCATCCAGCTAACAACAACAAACTTCCTCCAAAATCCTGCAGCACGCTCCTGGAGAAACTCATGGTGAGGTTGAGAAAGTCTTTGGTGGTCAGCAACCTGGGCTGAAAGTAGATTTCACCAAAAGTTTAATGATTAATCACAAATGCAATATTAAAAGGTTGAAGGCCCCAAGACAATATGATGAATGTATTACACGTCTTTGGGCTTGAAATCTCTTTATGAATTTCTTTTTCCCAATGCTTCCATTGACTAATCTACAAAAAGCTTATAGAATTATATTATCCATCTTTATAGAGATTGTGTAGATTCCTGCACTCAGATGCAATAACCAAGTTCCCTAACTTTACCCTGGCTCCTCCCAGAACCATAGTGATCGCACTAAATACTAAATGAGAAACTGCAAGTACAAAAATAAAGATGTGTAGCTGATGCAATGCTTCAAGAGAAAGCAATTGAACCTTGCCCTGTAATTAGACAATGACAGTCAAAAGATTTAGAATTACTGTGTGGAATATCCAATGTATAGCAAAAAACAATGAGATACTAACGGTAAACATTTCAACAGTTATTACCAAAACATGCACGTGGCCGTGGAAAATACAAAATAAACAGAAAATGCTTGCTTCAAAGGACATCTACAGAGTGCATTATTGAGAACAAAATTAAGTCTATGAATATATCTTAGGATATAATTATGCTTTTGATTATTTAGAGCAAACAAGAAAATAAAAAATATACTGTAAAACGTGCAAATTTGGAATCACGCTTCTTACAGTAATGTAGAACACTTGCACCAGTATTTAATCGCTTCTACTGAAAAGGAGCATACTATTGTAAAATAATAACATATCATAACACTCCATAATGAAGACAATCCATAGCTTCTACAGGACATCACATTGACATCACTAGTATACATGAAGTCAATCTTCTCAACCATCCGATGCCTCTTTTTTATTTTGGTTTGATCAATGGCTAGTAATACTGTGAATTTTATTCTAACAAGGTTATTATATGTTTTTTTAAGGAATTTTCTAGAATTTGGTAAATTCTGAATTATCTTTTAATTTTAATTTGGTATTGTATGTAATTAAGTTGTTAAGGACTTTGGATACCTATAAATAGGTCACTAAGTCTAGCAACCATGCAATTGAATTAAATTTTTGAGAACATAATTCCTTGCCTTGCCTGATTTGTTGCTCAACATATCAATCTCCATCCTCTCTCTCACTTAACTACTTTCTCTCTACTTCCAGTCAATAATCATCCTCTGTCCAACAGGAATTTTGCAAGATGGCATGCCTACCAATGTAATCCAATTCTATCTTATTCCTGATAAGTTATAACCCAATTCAAATCATAACCAACTATCCTAAGATTCCACCAAAAATTCACTCATCATCTCTCTCTTGTCTGCCTCATATTTGCTTCTATCCTATAAAAAATTCTATACAGCATGTTCGTCTCTCCCCTATCTTAAAATTTTTTGAGATGCAATTAGCTCTCTCTTTCCTACTCAACCCACCATCCTCCCTCTAAACCCTCATTCTCTCTCTAACCAAACCCCCCATTTTCTTGTTAGCCACATGCCTCCTCCTTCACTTAGCTGACATCATCCACTCACTCTATACCTAAAAAAATCTTCAGCATCCAACACTATAAAATTAAAGCAAAGAAGGTAAGGAAGCCTCTCCTTCCCTCTTAATCTTCTCTCCAAGTAAACCCCAGACCATCAATTTACACGATCCTATTTCTCTCTCCTACATTCTTCTAAGCATGTCCAATTCCTCCACATATCCTCCATCGCCAAAGATGGAAAAAGATTACTAAGTCAAACAACTCACTTCTACATTCTTTAACATCAATATTGATATCAGAAGAAATCTTATATCAAGAAGAATTGTTTAACATTTCCCACCTGGATTTCTACACTCCTCACTCCAAGTGTCAAAAATAGTTTCTTCAGAGAACAGTGATACCTAACAAGTGACAACGGGGAATTTGAAAGAAAAGGGGTTAATATTAAAACAGCAATAGCGTTACAAAGAAAACTAAGCCATTATAGTGAGTGGGAAGGATACATAATTATTAGTATTATGACATGCGATAGTATTCTCAATAACATAGATCAGGAAAAAAATAATTGAAATTGATTTAGTTGCATGCTCATATGTGAAAAACACATTCATGTAGGAAATAAATAGATACAATATCCCTTGATACAAATTCTCTAGCCAAATGGAGATTTCAAACAACACACATCTAAAACCAACTTTTACTCATATATAACACCCATATATATGTAGCAAATTATACTTAAGTAACACCCATAAGCGGATCCACAATGGGGACATTGGGGCATGTGCCCCCATCGGTCTATCAGAAAGAGATAATGAGTTAACATTTTATTAATAATACTATGATGGGGTTATTGGTGAAAATGGTAACTACTTTTTAGTTAAACGAGAATATATGTCAAATTGAAGATTGCTTCTTTAATCAATGAGCTTTTTTTAATCTCTAGCTAAATGATGATAGATTTCAACAACCTTTTTTATACATTTTAAACGGGATGTTTAAATTAATAATTAAAAGTGATTTCTCAAATAAATAAAGAAAATTTTAAATTTAATTAAAAAACATTTTAATCTAATAATATATAATAAATTTTATGTTTAAAACATAAATTTATTTTTAAAAAACTTGTGGTGCTAAATTAGTTGTGATGAATTAAATATAAATGAACGATTTTAAAATGATTCTCGCTGATTTCTGAAGGAAATTCGGCAGGATTTCGGGATTCAATAGATACGAGGTATTATTTTTTGTCGTCGTTTTGGTTCCCTCTGGGTATTATTCATTGGTCAACAACACGAGTAAATTTAGTATAGCTGATATTAAAAGGATATGTAGGAATAACAGAATCCTAGAAGAATCCCAGGTAAAAACAGGCACTTAAGCAACACACTTTTTTTGGCTTAACATTTAAAACCACATTGACTTTAGTAAGGTTTATTGCTGATCTTCCTGTATGAATAAATTAAAAGACCGTGTTCCCAGTCAAAATGTTTCATCAATCTATTAAATGCTAAGGTGGAATGAGATTTACAAGAATTTATGACCAAGGGTTGAGTGCAACCAGTCTCTTGATTTCAGTGTACTAGTATTTCTCATTGATGTTGTGCGCTTCTAACTTTCTGTGTATTAATTTGTGCATGTTCTATGCTGCCTATCTTAAGTTGCATACAAAAGTTCAAAATACAATTCCTGCTTTTCTTTCAATGCATAAGAGATTTTGGGCACGGGCACTATTAAGGGGTTATTTTATTGTGCTACTTCATTATTGCAAACTAAAGAAGGATTAACAATATATCCATCTTAAATAATGTGAATGACTATGTCAGGCAAACATAAGAAATTTAGAACTCGTTATCTTTAGCATAGTAACAAAAGAAAATGTCCAAAATGCTATTAAAAATAGTATATAAATATGACAAAATGTAATGCTTCTATTGATAACTTGTTTAAGTGCAGACACTACGTGCTAGTTTGCAAACAAAACAATTACTTCAAAAGCAATTTTGATTCAGATTACACTTGTGAAGCTACGACAATAGAACTTGCTAAAATGATTTGGCGTTGGTAGCATTAAAACTCTTACTATTTGATTTATAGTTCCTATAAATGTTATATCTACTCACAGCGGAAAAAAAAAAAGAAAGAGGAAGAATAAGCCTATCAAACTATACCTGACGAGTACAATGATCTGAAGCAACATCTCCAGACAAAAACCGTTGCTTTTTCCATGTAATTTCACTAGAAATTCTATGATGTATAATTTCCACAGGAACATATTCTTCCTTGCTGCAAGGAAGCATATGAAATGAAGCACTTCTATGGATGCAAATATCGCTGATATAACTTTGAGAAACAGTTAACAAAAGGGAGATAAAGCCCAGAAGCATAAGCTCTGCATCAAAACAAATCCAAGACTTTCGTCAGAAAATAATATCATCAGGCAGTGCTAATATGGAAAAGGTCCTATTGGAAGGGGGGTTAGAAATTATACACAAAATGTGCACAGGAAACTTTTCAGAAGTAAAACCAGACCAGAAGACTGGATCAATGGTACGGAACAAGAGGAATTATCACCAATTTCTAACACGACAAGGAGATTTGACCGATAAAACGGCTTAAAATGACATTATAAATTGATGAGACTGCAATACAATTCAATAAAAAAGGAAAAAGAACTGCAAGTCATCCTGCCGTACTAAATTTAAGAATAAGCCAACTATAATAACTAATAACAAGTGCCTAAACTTTTCCACGTTAACAAAAAGATTAGCATGGCTCACCACAACAGGACTTAATCCACTGCACGCACAAAACTACTTAAGGCCAACTTATGAAACCAAAGTACAATTTAAATATAGAAAAAAGGAAATGCAACTCAACCTAACGTTCTAATTTAACAGTCAAGTCCATAGTAACAACAAATGATATTTCCATATTACAAAGAAACAAAGATAAGCATGTTATTGATAACAATACACCCCAATTTTAAATGAATAAAGGTGACGATCACAGAAAATAACAAACATTAATCTGAATATAAAAGGAATGTTTCATGTCTTGATGATGTAAAATAATGAAAAAATCAAGTAATATCAGGATCATAAATTGGAGTTCCTTTTCTAAAACTAAGATTGACTCCCATCACATGTTGAAATCAGCAGACTACCGTTACAGTGACGGTTCAAAAGTTAAATAAAAAATCTTCAAAAATGGTTGAATAAATGCAGGAACAGTAGACTAGTTTTATATCCAATAAGCATTTACTACCAGTTGGCTCAGCCTCCATCTCATTTGAATATCTTCAAAACATGAAAATTTAGCAAACAATCGTAACAGAATTCCTAAAATAACAAGTAATCTTGAGAGGAAACTGCACTACTGACCTTCTTTCAACTTCTCTAATGCTTGGAAAAGAGCATCTTGGTGTTCACGTTTCAAAAACTGAAAATGATGAAAACAGAAGGCAATTAAAAATTAAAAGCATAGCAGAGAAAATAAACATATTTAAGGACTTAAAAAATAATAATATCGATAATCTCTCCTGCTTATGTATTTATATCTCATTACCAAACTTCCAAATATCAACCATCCAAGATAACAGCTGGACTAGCCCATGTTTGGTCTTTAAAAAATTTCTTTAAAAGGTAAAGACATAAAAGCATTAGAATGACACGTTATATGTCCTATTGATGGTTGGGAAGTGAGTTGAAGGATATCGGGAGATGTAAGGGATTCCTTCTTTAAATTATAGATTAATGAAAAAGAGAAATTAGTGAGCGTTAAGAGATAAAATAAGGCAAATGGAAAACCTATCTTTAGGTGATTGAGATAATGAATCGGCAACTGTATTATTTGATTTATCTGGTTATAAACTCAATGGAGAAATTAAAGCCTAAGAGTTTGCTAAATCAAACCCTATTTTGATACCCTTCAGTCAACCTGGAGTGTACCAGAAAAAGAGAAAGCAAATAGATATATATCTTACTAACACTCATCGTGAATTATTTCTATCAGAATCGGGTGAGTAGGAAATAACCTATTCAAACTATCCCAACACAATAAATTTTTAGTTTTAACAATTTATCTACAAACTTTCATATTTAAAAGCATATTCAAAACACATCAAATAAAATATTGAGTTTTACTAACTTTCAAATAAACTTTACATACTCAAAAGTCTTAGGCCTCGTTTGATTGGACTTAAATTCTCCGTTCTCCGTTTAAAAATGCCGAAAGAAGTTAGTGTAAAATGTTTGGAATCAAAAGTTAACAGTAATTCTTTTTCAAAAAACTTCGTTTTCAGGGTGGTTACAAAAGACTTTTCCCATCTGCTTACTCGGTTAGAAATCACTATTTTGGAAGCGAAATGTCCTAAATAACCGTGCCACGTTCCCATGTTAGAAGGGCATAGAGCTTTGATATTTACGTAGCTGAGTAAGATGCTACATATATTTGAGGCTTTCATCAATTTGTATGATTATACATATATTAGATTGGATGGTTCTGCACCACTGGAACAGAGGCAAACTCTGATGCAACATTTTATAGTTAAAGTATTTTGTTATTATTTCTTCTATTAAAAAAATTAATTTTTTTTAGAAATTCATATATATAAATTTATGTAAACTTACTTTGTAAAATTTAAAAAATTAATTACATATACTTAAATTTTATATACGAGTAATTTAGTCTTTTTATAATAAAATCGTTAAAGTTGAACTCCTAAACAAATACTTAAATCTGCTTTCAGGTATTAATAAGCACTTAAAAGAAATATTACTCAAACAACATATCATTTATGAAACTCCATTTTATTAAACTTTTTTTTCTCAACATTCTTTTCTAAAACTCCTTTTTAAATAAGCAAAAACTGAACCAAAGGAAGCCTTATCATACAACTTATTGCTCTGACTTCTATGTACACCCGAAACTTATGTACGAAAAATGCAGTCACTCTCCTGCTTAGAACTAAAAGTTCAATGAAATATACAATCCAAGTACAAGAAATAAGAAATAATATTGTGCATTCAACTGTAAATGATATTTGAATTACTATAAAACAATCATAAACTTTGTAAAAAATCAACGCATACAACGGTACCAATCACTGTATGTATTCTTTAACTTTCCACGTATTTCTTGTTTTGTTTATTTTCCAACACTTCAAGCAAGTCATATGATGACTATAGGCTATTGCATACTTACAGCTCTCTCATTTAAGGGTGGATCTGAATTTTCAGCTTTTAGAAGTGAGAGAGTGTTGGGTACCTTCTATACAGTCTCGGAGGCTTACCTAGTCAAGTCTTTCATCTTTACTTGTGCGGGTTTATCCCCCATAATATGACTTTTCTCATTAACCTTATTATTAACATTCAGATGTTCATAACATACATATATAGTATCATGTTGCAACACGTATTGTATATCCAATAACCCAAATTAATAAGTAATTAACTCAAGTAAACAAGTAATCATAAACTCATAATACGATTAATATGAAGAATAATATTACCACGATTATGTTAAAAAAATTTATTCTGTATACTACAGATTGAGTATCTCACCTCTTTCTCTAGGATAGGAGGATAAATTTGTTCTCCTACAATAACCCAACCAAGCTTATAAACAACCTAAAAAATGAACTTTATCATTAAACATGAATTCTAATAAAAAAAATGTGATATGAAAATTCTTAAACTTTTATCTCAATTAAACTCCTCATTTAACTCAAATTTCCTTCCATTTTCTTTATTTTTCTTCCCCTTTTCTCTTTTCTTTTCCTATAAGTTCCAACCCTTTTTTGGTTTTCTCCAGTAATTTTCTACAGTAACATCTCTATGGTTAAATGATACAGTACCCAAACTGAGAATTCCTCCTGCTTCGATTCCTCCTTCTCACGCTGTCGGGAGCTCCGGAGGCTGCTGCTTCGGCTCTAGAGAGGAATTGCCGGGTGGGTAGGGAATGGAATATGCTTAAGTTAATTTAATATAGTAATATACCAGCAATAACATTCCCACTAATGCTTTCCCAGCAGTGATCCCAGCTGTGGAATTTAATCCTGCGTGAATGGGCCGCTGCATGCACAGGTAAATTGAGGGGTAAATTCTGCTACAGTGAAATTCAATTAATTGCATATTAGTAGTTCTTCCTAAGGTTTTTGGTTATTAACTAAATTAATATGTATATACATATATTAGGCTTGTAGTTTAGGTGCACTTCAATTTATCAATTTGATCAGAATGAGAAGTAGAATTTAATGAAAATAAGTCTGACATTTTTTGTATGAATGATAAAATAGGATTTTTTTTTTTTGAAAAATTCATGCTTACATTTTTAAGAAACTTTGGGTATTATATATTTTTTGATCTGGTGCTTGAAGGCTTTTGGTTTGAAGATCAAAGAGACATTTATGATATGTGCAAATAATGAACTCAGTGCTTAATAGGTATTGACGCTATTTGCAAACAGCAACTGTGATGGAATATAATTTTTTCAAGTAGAAGATTGTGTGATAGGCGAACGTTTAGCTTTTTGCTGAAGAAAGATTTAGTATGATTGTTTTGTTGCAAACCAACTCCAATACCAGTGTTTGAAGCATTAGTTTCAATAATAAATTATTTTGAAAAATCTGGTAAAGATAAAATAGGGGTTGTGGTCATGGCTCTTAAGGTTGTTAAAGGCAATAGAAGCATGAGCGTTCCATTTGAAAGAATCTTTCTTGAGTAAATTGGTTAAAGGGGATGCAATAGAAGTATAATTTGAGATAAAGCTGCGATAATAGCCTGTTAACCTCAAAAGTGCGCAAATGTTTTAAAGATGAAGGAACTGGCCAAGTAGTCATAACTGAGATTTTCTTAGGATTGGGTTGGACACTTCCAAAAGATACAATATGACCAAGATATTTGATGGAGGATTGACAAAAGTGACATTTATTTAATTTAAAAAATAACTTGTTTGTAGTTAAACATTGAAATTCAAGAAAGAGGTGATCAAAATGGAAATCTACAGTAGGACTAGTAGATGAGAATATCATCAAAAGAAATAATGGCAAACTTCTAAAGGAAAAATCGAAAAATTTGGTTCATTAAGGCTTGAAAAGTGGCTGACACATTTGTTAAGCCAAAAGATAAAGAG